GACCAGCTACAAACTTCTTTCTCTTGTCCGAAGAATTCTCGGGTTTTTTCGCCTTGTCGTTGTCTACTTCCTTCTTGCTCTCTGTGATCTCAATCTTGGTATCTCCTTCCATCTTTATACTTATGTTCACCTCCAATACTCTCTTGCTCTTTCTCATGGAAACATCGAACGACTCTTCTCTTTCCCGTCTTTGCTCATACAATCGGCGCAGCTTGAGTGCAAGATTGTAGATCCCGTCTTTGAATTCCCCTTCCAAATTCCTTTCGATCTCCATTTCGAGATCATCGCGAATCCTTTCCTCTTCTTTGGACATCAAGAGTCTTCTCTCTTCCTACAATAATAATACTTATAAACCATTCAGTAGCTAAAAGCTTTTCATGTATATATACAACAAAAACATATATATTTTACTCACATTTTGTCGGCTATGTTGGTCCATGCCTTCACAATTCTCTCCCGCTCTTTTTCTGATGCGGTCCCCTTGCAAATTCGGGTTATAAAACAATATCGTTTTGACACGGACATTTGTTTTGATGGGTCTACTATATATATAGTTTGGTGGTCCGAATAAGACATGTTGAAGATTGGATTAAAGTAATAAGGTTTTAAGTGACTGTTAATTATAAACAGCATGTGAAGCATTTACTCATCAAAGTGTAGATTCAGAAATTAAGCTTGAGTTGATTAAATTGAAACATGTCCTTTTTTTTATACGTTGGTGAGAGTAGTGCTTTACTTATAAGGCTGCTTTGGATTGCTTTAAAGTATAAGAATCTAATCTCATCTCTGTCTGAGTAATGAAGAAGAAGGTTCTTGTGTTTGTGTCAATCAAGACATTACATTCAAATGAAAAAACAAAAAATTAGTTATCAAATCACTTGTTACACATAAAAATTTCGTTGTTAGACAATCATAGATGTAAAAGTTGATAAATCCTAACAAATTTAGCGATAGTTAAAAAAATTTGTTGGCTAAATTTTTTTATTTATTATTTTGGTCTAAATGTTAAGAAGATTGTTGACTAAATTTTGATTAGTAAAATATTTTTCTATCACAATCTCATAGTTAAAAAGAATTGTGACTAAATTTTGATTAGCAAAATTGTTGACTGATGAGCATCTTGTTTGTTGTTTCAAAAAAAAAAAAAACATCTTGTTTGTAATCCGTTTTCAAATCTTATACTCAAATTTACGAATACTAAATTACAGAAACGAATAACACACTCTTGTATTCGTATTATTCGTTTTTAAAAATATTCGTTTCATTGGTGGTTAGCGTGGGAGTTACGTGATAATTCGAAGTCTCCATTATTGTTTTGATTTTTGAAACAGTGCAATGAATAGTTGGTCGACGTATTCGAAAGTCAATGATCATTGGGTAATATATATACGAATATTATATTCATCACACTTTTGGTTAATCAAAGTTGCATCACAAAATTAGTACAAATTTACATATCACCTTTAATTTTTTTATAGAATAATGGGAATCTTAATGTATCATTTGTATAACTAAATTAACTTCTA